TACGCCGTAGCCTTTACGCCGTAGGCTATGCATCAGTTTTCATTTATACTTCTGCGTCGACATGCAGTACACATGCAAACCGCTAGTCTGCAGTGTCCACGGGCATGTTGCTGGTGTAACCCGCAGTACCACGGCAAAAGCCGAAGAAGAAGCGACTCGTCGGAGAAGCATTATAGCCGTGATTGCGGCAAATAAATATCAAATCATTAAATCATTATTTAAAACTACAAAAAGGAGAGAACAGGAGAACAGGAGAAGATGGCAGTCTTTCAATCTCCACAAGGACTTGTACCACGGCAGATCAACATTGTTTGTCGTACTGATGTATGCTATGTAGTATAATAAATGATAAGACACTTGTTCTTTGCTTTGCTTTATTTTATATAAATGAGGTGTAACATTAAAATATATTAAAGTGCACATAAACACACACAAAACTCACACACAAAACTCAAGTACATACGGAGGGAGGGGTTCTAGCAGACCAATCACAGTGCTTGCGGTCCGCTAGGGTGTGCGTCTATGCGTAGGCTACGACGTAGGTTCGATGCAGAAGTATAAATTGGGCTTTACACGATCAAAGCCCAGAAACATAGCAAGGACATCGGTAAAATAATCCATGTGACATCAGGGTTTCAACCATAAATTTACAAAGCTACGAGAATACTTTTTGTGCTTAAAATAAAAAAAACAATGACTTTATTCAACAATTCGTCTCCTCCGCGTCACCCTACGTTGTTTTCGTTCAAATCAAAGCGTAAATGACGTAAACAGCATATCTGCGTGGCGCAGCTAACACAAAACAGCATACGCAATTTACGTTCAGTGGATACTCTCCAAAATGGCGCTAGGGAGACGCGAAGGAGACGAATTGTTGAATAGAGTCGTTTGTTTGTTTTTTCGCACAAAAAGTGTTCTCGTAGCTTCGTAAAATTACAGTTGAACCACTGACGTCACATGGATTATTTTATCGATGTCCTTGCTACATTTCTGGACCTTGATCGTGTAAGGACCCTCGCTGTCTATGGGAGGGTCAGACAGCTCTAAGATTCCATCAAAAATATCTTAATTTGTGTTCCGAAGATGAACGTCTTACTGGTTTAGAACGACATGAGGGTAAATAATGACAGAATTTTCATTTTTGGGTGAACTATCCCTTTAAAATAATTGAAAAGGAGAAATGTTGTCTTGGCAACTAGTTAAAATAAGTTTTTAAAAACATTTCATTTTACCTTTTGTTTATCTTTTGTAAGCCGCTTTGGATAAAAGCTTCTGCTAAATGTTGTTTTATTTTGATAACAAAAATGTTTTTTAATAGTTTTTTATTTATGGTTTTAGTTTACAATATTAACTCTGGTTTAGATCAAGCAAGCATGAAAACAGCCTTGGAGAAAAAAACTGAAGAAATCAAGGCAACCGCAGATCCCTTCAAAAAGACAAGTTTGTTGATTCTGGTCCTTACCTGAGACACATCTGCCTCTGTACCTTCTGACTGACGACTTACATATCGAAGAGCAGGCGAGGCAGACAGAAGGGGAGAGAGATTGGATCCTCCCGGAAGCACGTTTGTACGGGGGCCAAAGTAATTGAATTAGCTCAGTGGAGATAGCGGGGATTAGTGTTTCAGAAGCAATCGGGTCCGCGGCACGAGTCTCGCTCAACATCTGCTCTGTCAGTCCACAGAAGCGGGAGGTGCTCGAGCCATAGGCACTCTGCTGTCAGTCAGGACTCAAGGTCGATTCACCTAGTCCTAGAGCATATCCTCACTGGATATATGCAGACACAGACCAGCGTACCTGGAAAAACAATCTTAGTACTCATTAAAGCTCTGTAAAGACAGAAAAGTTAAACAACAACCTCTTTTGAAGATTATTATTTCATAATCAGGACATTAATTGATTGGCAGTTGCCTTTGAACATTTAACAGAATAAATCTGAGGCTTTTATTAAATCAAGCACTTGAATCAATTCTTCCATTACAAAAGTATTAGTAATTTTAGCTGTAAAATAGATTCCAATGTAATGCCTCAATTCAAATGCATGTTTGAGTGTATTATGCAAAAGTTAGTTTATCAACTTTACATGGAGTTGAAGGATATAACATTGCACAAACAATTTTATCTTACAAAACCTACAGTATCATATTTAAAAGGCCTCTAAAGGATAAAGAAAGGTCGAAACCTGCTGAAAAACCTATTGACACAATGCCTTCTTTTGTCTGATTGATACAGTATTTTACTTTTTTAGCAAGTAAAAGGCCTTTTAGTATCATTCTAAAATTTTGCTGTGAAATCTAATTTTTATAAAGTACGCGCAAGTTAAGATCATAACTAAGGACATATTAAGAGATATAGAGTGACAACTGATATTTATACACACTTTAGGTAAGTAGTTTGTTATATTGTTATAAAAATCTCATTGATTTACATTACAAGCTATCAGAATTTCTTATTTTTGGCCATATAAATATATGCAACTGCACCAAGTTGCATATTTTTGCTCCGTTTGGGAAAATAAAATTAAGATGCTTTTTCCTCCTCAAAGGTTAACGAGATTACCAAATAATATATTTATCACACTAGTCTTATGTTTACATGTATAATGTTTAAGTCTTTAGGCTATATTATTAAACAAGTGCAGTATAGTGTTTATAAAGCAAGGGATCTTTGTAAGGGGTCATGCACCTTTTTCACCAACGAATTTACGTTACTTTTCAAGTTGTTCATAATCACTGGATGAAAAATCAATTTTACAGGAATTGCACAAACAACTATTTCTGGCAGATGAAATAACTACACTGTAAAATGATTTTCTGACTCTAAATATAAAAGATTATTGGGGCTTGTTTATAGCAGTCGTCATTTACTCCCGACATCTGAGCCGCTGAAGACGCAGTGGATTACATGCACCCCCGATCTACATAAACGCGTCTATGTTCGCGCGAATCATTCATGATACAGCCTCATCAACAGAAGAAGTGAGTATAATGTTTTGTAATGAATCTTTGCAAATCACCTTTCCTAATAATGTGCTAATTAGCAAGTTTCACAATGAATGCGGCTAAAGTAAACAGTCTCTCTGAGAGCAGCTCGGAAGAGAGGGGCGGAGTCAGCAGAGCTCATTAACATTTAAAGGAAAATGCTACAAAAACGGCTTGATCTGAAAAGAGCTGTTTTTGACAGGGTAAAAAAATGTTTTTTACACTACAATTGAAAAATTTTAACCAAACTATGTTACAGACTTTTCATTAAGACCCTAAAGAATCATATCAACTTGTGGAAAATGGGCATCCTATGACCCCTTTAATGTTTGCATAAAGAAAAATGTCAGCGAACATTCACAAATTATGTTTTTATACCTTAATAGGAACGGTAGTAACACATTCTTAGAACATATTTTTATTAGCTGGCTATTTATTCATTGGCTTAGCAATGAAACCTGCATAATATTTTTGGTGAACAGGTTCATAAGAGTCACTAAAATTATTCAAAATCTCCACCACTACTAGTTGAGGGCATTTTTGTTCCCTCCTCCAAATCCTTTCTTCTTTTATCTTTACGAAATAAAAGTATCCCAAAGGCCAAGAATTAAATAAAAACTTGTCTAATTTAGTCATCAAAAGTTTTGGGTGGTTTTGATACTGATACATGAGTTGCACTTTAATGTTTCATAAGGCAAAGCATCACCCGCGGTACAGAACAAAGTAATTGGCTTGATGACTTAAAATGGGCTTATTTCCCCTCAAAGCTTTGGATCGCTTCTGAGTGATTACATTTTCAACACTCCATAATCCTGCGCTTTGGAGAACAAAAAATAAATAAAAATCCAGAAATGTATCAAACTGGTAAATAATGCAAATAGTCAAATATGCTAATCAAACCTCTAACATTGATGTCACACTTTACTTTGCCTGTCTACCTCCGGCAAACATCTCAGCGGGAAACTTTTGGTCTTACAACAAGACTTGTGTTTGGTTAAGTCTACCATTTTGTACTAAACAGATGTTCTACATACAGCAGGAACATTTACTAAACATCTGGAGGAAAAAATTTGACGCTAACAGAGCAGAAATAGAGTGCAACAGTGACCGCAGCAGCCTTGAATTATCAAAGCATATTTCCTATTCATTTTTCACATAAAAAAAAAGCTTTGAACCTTAAACCAAACCGCGTGGCTCTGAGATGAATCATAGCATTCGATTCAAAGCAAAAAGTTATTTGAAAATAAGGAAAAATCTTTTCTGAGCAAATGAATGAACTACTCATCCTGTAAAGCAATGGGAATGAATAAAATCAGTCTGTTTTTGTCTTCCCACAACGTCTTATTAACATATTAAATGGTCAAGGTTAAGTGTGTCTTGAAAGGTTTATATATGAAAAGTGCTAATAGTGCACTATTTTGGCCTACATGGCTGAAATACTCACTGTTGGTCTCCATGCTCTCACAAAGCTCAGTCTTCACTTCCCCGTTGGGCCGGTCGCTTCCCTTCTGTACGAGTTTTCCTGACATGGTGGCGGCAGTGACGATCGCTTTGAAGCTGCGCTTGCGTTTGGGCACGTTCTGCTCCGGGTGGAGGATGATGACGTAGACTTTGGGCATGTAGAGCATCCCCAGAGACACAGACGCGCTGAGGCTGAGAGAGATGGTGAGGGTGGTGGTCTGGATGTACATCTGGAAACAAGACGCATCAGATGGGAACAGAGAGAGAGGGAAAGGCAAGGTAAGTCAGAGAAGAACCACATCTGTATGCAGTTCCTTCCTCAGAGTTTGAAGTCTCTCTAGCCATAATAATCAACTGTTTTAAACCGTTTCTGGATCTTTTTACTGAATTTAAAACCTTCAGAACTGTAACGGCAGCTCCTGTGAGGCCTAGCAAGGTATACAATAAAGTCATCCAAAAAAAATAAAAATGTAAGTTTTATACAGATTTATATGATATAGTTAATATTTAACAAATAAAATAATGCAATAATAACAACAACAACAACACATAATGACATTTAACAAAGAACAAAAAATGAGTTGAAAAAACATGCCAGGAACATTTTTCACATTACAAATGACAAAAATAAGATGTTACATTGCTAAAAAAATAAAATAATAATAATACATGCCATGCAATTTCATGACAATTAAGTGCACAAAAAATAAAAGTAAAATGAAAAATATTTACTGTAACGTGATGGTTGGAGTATTTGTAGTATCTGTTATACTGCCTTTAATAAATTATAATTTAAATGTACAAAAAAACTATATATATTTTTTATTAAATAAATAATACTTGTATTCATTAAGGATGCATAAAATGTATCAAATTGAAAGTAAAGACATTTATAATGATATAAAAGCTTTCTGTTTTAAATAAATGCTGTTATTTTGAACTTTATATGCATCAAATTATCCTGAAAAAAAATATGTCATAATAATGTTAACTGTTTTTTTAAACTGACAATAAAAATAAATGTTTCTTAAGCAGTAAATCAGCATATTAGAATGATTTCTGAAGGATCATGTGACACTGAAGACTGGAGTAATGATGAATGAATACCGTTATTTTAAATTGTAATATTATTTCACGATTTTCCTACTTTTAAGTTTTGTTTTGTTTTGTTTTTGATCAAATAAATACAGCCTTGATGAACATAAAAGTCACATTTCACTGCCCCCTGCCCTCCAAAAAAAAGAAGAAGAAAAAAAAACAATAATAATAAAAAATAAATAACATTTTGGATAATCATAATTTTTCATTTTTGATAGCTAAGTAAATGTGTTTATCATCCACACACACACACACACACACAGAACAACTCAAACACTGAATCGGTTTCTATGGTCAGAAATTGCAGGTAATCACCTGAGACTAGCTCTGCGGATATCGATCCAAAGCGGTCTGACACAGATTGGAGATTTTCCACTAAAAGCTACATATAAACTCAGCGTTAATTTGCCTCTTGATCAAAGAAATCACTTCAGACTAACAACCTTCCCGTTAATACCAGTCAGAGGAAACGATGCTCATTATATATAATCACCAAACTTCTGAGTTCTCACCAACTTCAGCTTTTCTGGGAACAGCTATAGAATACATGACAACGCTGATGCTATTTGCCATCATCTTCCACTCTGCGGGAATATAATGTATTGATCTGTGCTGTATTATGACCAGGGGCTCTGGCAGAAACGCCACATATCAGTGGCTTATGCTGTTAGAACTTAATACTCCCATAAACCCTCATGATCTAGACAGAACTTTAAAAACACATGGATCCAAAGCGGTCTGACACAGATTGGAGATTTTCCACTAAAAGCTACATATAAACTCAGCGTTAATTTGCCTCTTGATCAAAGAAATCACTTCAGACTAACAACCTTCCCGTTAATACCAGTCAGAGGAAACGATGCTCATTATATATAATCACCAAACTTCTGAGTTCTCACCAACTTCAGCTTTTCTGGGAACAGCTATAGAATACATGACAACACTGATGCTATTTGCCATCATCTTCCACTCTGCGGGAATATAATGTATCGATCTGTGCTGTATTATGACCAGGGGCTCTGGCAGAAACGCCACATATCAGTGGCTTATGCTGTTAGAACTTAATACTCCCATAAACCCTCATGATCTAGACAGAACTTTAAAAACACATGATCACTGAACCAGAGAGACTTTACAGCTCAAAATACGTTTTATTTCTTATCTTTTCTCATTTTAATTTTTAGTTACGTTTTATTATTTTTATGTTTTTGTCATTTTTTCTTTTCTTTTCTTTTTTTTTTAAATCTATATATTTTTATTTAATTTCTATTTCTGTTTTAATTTATTTTAGCATATAAAAATAAACTAAATTCTGCCTTGCACATGATTGTCACGCTACGCTGTTGAGGAAACGTTTAACAGTCTTTAATCAAGAAACACCGGCGATAATCCACAATGGGCGCTTGAGCCAACACACATAGAGAACGAGTAGACCTGACAAACACAAACTGAACAGACTAGGACTTTTATACAGGGGATGATTGGGGAACACAGGTGACATCAATGGAACATAATCAAACTAAACAAGGACAGGAACATGACCAAATAAGGCAAAACAGGAACTGAAACACATGACAAAAAAAACTGGTCAAATCCTGACAATTATACATTTTAGTGCAGTACTTTTATTTAAAGTAACAAAAATTGTATGGTTTTAATCTTAGTTTAGTTTTAACTTTTTAAATACTTTATTTATTGATGTTTTAATATCTGTTTTCACAATAGATCATGTCTTCAAAACGAGCTAGTTTATTATCATACAATGTTTCATTCAATTTTACTGATTGGTTGATTTAATTAAATTCATTCAATTAAATATATTACATTTATTTTGTTACCAAAGGTTGATTTGTACTGTATTTTTTATTTGTACCAGAAAAACAGCCATTATTCACAACTATTATAGTTAAACATAATAACCATGATTTCTTAAAAATTATTGTTTTAAATAAAAACAACTGAAATAGTGTCCGAAATGAATATAAATAAACATATTCAATTATTTCTTTATTGAAGTTTTAATATCTGTGGTGTCACAATAGATCATGTCTTCAAAATGAACCAGTTTTATATCAAACAATGTTTTATCAAATTGTATTTATTTATTAAATTTCATCCATTATTAGTCATTATTTGTTCTCAACCATGACTTCATGACTGTTTCAGGCCTTTTTTTGTGCTGTACCTTTAACAAAAACTGAAATGTAGGCATGCTAACAGCCTCAGTTCAGTCATTTTCACAGTTATTTTGGATCTGGGCAGGAGATTTAGAGCTCTAAAAGTTACAGTTAAATACATCAAACTCTTTCAATCAATGTAAATTTGATTCCTCATGAAATGAGCCCCCTAAACTCTTAAAATTAGAATAATAATATAAAAATCCCTGCCAAAAAGAGGTTAAATCAAATCTCAAAAGGTGTTAAAACATTTTTCCAGCGGGTTTACAATCCGCCATATATAAGCCAGAGGAATAATTAAAACAAAAATCACACCAGGACTTTGTGAAATTCTGAAGTACTGCTATTATACTGCATATAAACGCATATGACTGAATGTTCATATTCTGTGTCAATTACACAGAAGTTCCTCAGGAACTCATGAGGTCTGAAGTTAAACAGATGATTGTAGCATATAGAGCTGTATTTAAAGTCTAAATTGGACTTCTCCTTAATGCATTTCAAAACCAGAACCAAATAAAATGGTGTAACTACTGTGAATATACACATTTTCACACATGATCAGAGCTGTAAAGTGAGGAAGAGAACTGTATCCTAGATCATAGATGCATTGCTGTCTATGTAAGTGATTGATTGTTGTATTATAATAACACAATACTAATAAAATATATGTCTGTTCACCCAAGATGCAACAAAAATACATAAATTCACAACACACACATTTCATAAACACAAATATACTGTAGATATTTCTTGTGTATATATATATATATATATATAATTTGCCACTGACATCCATCCATCTGTTCACCAAATTTGCAACAAAATATGCGAAAAATGTGACACGTTTTATTTTTATATTATTATAATAATTTTTTTTTTTAAATAAGACACTGTTTGCATGTCTCATGTACGTCCATAATGTAAAGGATTTCAATGTGAAGCAGGCTATGAAATGAGTCAAATAATAATACAATTATATAAACAAAGACGGTTACACTTTATTTAAAGGATTTCATGTTGCAGTGCTATATATATTTAATACTTATAAACAACATGTACATATTACAGGGTTAGGGTTTGGTTTAGAGTTAATTACATAATTACTACAGTACATTACTATAGTACAGTACACTACAGTTATTACTACAGTATGTACATGTAATGTTTAAGAAGGACACTGTAAAATAGTGTTACAAAAATAATAAACTTAAGCAAATTATTATATTTTGATTAAAGATTGAGAAGATTAACATTCTATACTTTTTCTCTGATTTACACTTACATTCATTCATTCTAAATCTTTGATATACCTTGAACAAGAATGCGTATAAAAAATGTTACATTTTCTTAAAAATGACATCAGGATAAGCGTCTCTCTAGCTTTTGGATCAGAGCTTGTGTGTTATAGTCATTAGTGAGGAGGTCTTGTTGCTTTACTGCTGATCTGTTTCCTTTTCGCCCACCCAAATAGAACGACGGATTGCAAATAAAATCTGAATTACTGTTGCCGCATGATCCGATAGCAAAGCCACGCATACACAGAGCTCATGTTGTGTCTCCAGAAACGACCTGCACGGTGTCAGTCATTTCTCTGCCTGCCAATTCCCCTGGTGTTTCATGAAGCCTCCGTGTCACTCTTAATTAGTTTTGAAGAATCCTCGTACAGAAGCAGCCAGCAGACTATCAGCCTGGATTTCTAATAGTTCTCCGTTTCCAAAGCCTGCGACTCACAGAACTCATTTGAACAGGTTTGTAAAGGCTATTTCTCAGGTGACGGCACATGTTATTTTCTGCGCCAGAGAGCACAACCCCATGCGTACGTGTTGGAGGGTGGGCAAACGGGGAGTTTGGGATAGGAAATGTAAAATTCATTCAAAAACAGAGTCTCTTGAGATCAGGGGAGTGAGGTTTACCTGCACAGCACCTACCGCTGGCCTCCGTTACACTCACCC